CTGTGTGATGCCATCATGTCAATATGGACTAAACTCCCTGAGGAATGCTTCCAGCACCTTGTTGAATCTATGCCACGAAGAATTGAGGCAGTTCTGAAGGCAAAAGGGGGTCCAACCCGTTACTAGCATGGGGTACCTAATAAAGTGGCCGGTGAGTGTACATCTCCAAGTAACTTAGGGCTGGTATTAGCTTAGATTAGATGAGCTTTATTGATCTCACAGCAGAGAAATTCACTGGTCACATATTGGCATATTAATTAAAGAAGGTGCAAACAAGGAGGAAAAAGGTGCATTAAGAATAAACAATATATATCCAGTATATCATGATAAATAAGGATTAAGGTGCAAGTGTACATGTATCACACACAATGAAAAACAAAATAGAAATAAGAAATAAAAATAAAAACAAATAAAAATACAAGGGAGTAGCACAGAGGCTTGAGGTGACATATGTACAATCCGGATGGCTTATATACAGGTGGATTGACTTTTACATTGAAGTGTAGTAGGTGAGGAGTAACAGTGAGGTAGTGGTATGACTATTCTATTCACATATATTGCACATTCAGCATATTGCACAGAATATTGCACAGTCAATAATAAAAAAAACTATAATATAGCTGCACAGTGGTTTTTACAGGAGTTATTGTGGTTATAGTGCATTATTATAGAGTCTGGTGGCAGCAAGAATGAATGACCTGCGGTAGCGCTCCTTTCTTACAGACAGGGTGTCTAAGTCTCTGACTAAAGGAGCTGCTCAGCTGAGGCGGGCTGAAGCCACCACAGAGTCATAAAAGGTTTTAAGGAGGGGCCTGCTCACTCCAAAGGCCCTCAGCCTCCTCAGGAGGTGGAGGCGGCTTGGCCCTTTTTATACAGAGCGTCAGTGTTGTGAGTCCAGTCCAGTTTATAATTGACGTGAACACCCAGGTATTTGAAACTCTCCACAGTTTCTATGTCCTGCTCTTGGATGTTCTCAGGGGAGTAAGGTGGCGGTCTTCTCCTGAAGATGGTGCTCTTTTGTGCTGGCTTATCACTTCGGCCAGTGGCTGCTTTGGTTTCCCAGAGTAAAACTGGTCCCAGCTATCCTGGAGCCTAACAGAATAACCAATCTTCCTCCTTTGGTACCGGGGTACCCAGTCTTTGCTGCAATGTGTTTTGGGCTTTGAAGCTACTGAGATGTCATGTTTAGAATATAAAGGCATCAGTTTTTCTGAAACTCACCAACAGATGGAGTGAAAACTGGTCTGGTTCTGGGATTTGGTTCTGTTGGTGTCCATCCATTATCTGACACGCTTGTCCCGAGTGGGGTCTTGAGGGGTGCTGGTGCCTGTCTCCAGCTGTCTACAGGCGAGAGGCAGGGTCCACCCTGGAGGTCACCACTCCATCTCAGGGCAACATTCTGTGTTGCCCTGCGATGGACTGGAAAAGAACAAACAACCATTCACACACACTCTCAAACCTAAGGAGAATTTAGAGAAGCCGTTAACCTGACGGTCATGTTTTTGGACTGTGGGAGGAAGCCGGAGTACCCAGACAGAACCCACGGATGCTCAGGGAGAACATGCAAACTCCATGCAGAAAGACTCCAGGCTGGGAATTGAACCCAGAATCTTCTTGATGCAAGGCAGCAGTGCTACCCACTGCACCACTGAGCAGCCTACCTGTTGGTGTCCTGTTTGGGTTTCTGTCTGCTTTGAGGAAAGCCCAGTTAGTAGAACACATTGCTCTAGGCTGCCTCTTGTGTGTGATTTCTCCTTCTTCCTGTTAAACTCAGCAGGTCTTCATTGATGCAGCAGCTTGCTGACATTGATATTGAGAAATATTTAACGGGTTCTGTTGGACTGTTCTAACCTGCATCCTTATGGATCAGCTCACATCCTTCTGTTCTGTGTCCAGATTAAGGAGCTGTGGTTTGTCAGAGATCAGCTGTGCTTCTCTGGTCTCAGCTCTGAAGTCAAACCCCTCACATCTGGAACACCTGGACTTAATGAACAACAACCTGAAGCAGTCTGATGTTCAGCAGCTGCAGGATCTTGTAGAGAGTTCAGACTACAAACTGACACTGTAAGTAGATGGTTGGAGTGAATCCAGCTGCTCTGAACAGGACTAAATTCCCTGCTGCTCTTCATCCTGGATGTGCTGCAAGCTGAAGGAGAGAAGCTGGAAAAACTCACTGATCTCCTCTGTTCATTCTTCTTCTCTCTGCAGGAATTGGGGGGAAACGGTGGAGTATCCTGACGATGAGGATTACACTGACTATGATGATTATAATGACCATGAGGATTACACTGACCCGATCGACTTTGAGGATTACAGTGACCATGAGGATTACACTGACCCGATCGACTTTGAGGATTACAGTGACCATGAGGATTACACTGACCCGATCGACTTTGAGGATTACAGTGACCATGAGGATTACACTGACCCGATCGACTTTGAGGATTACAGTGACCATGAGGATTACACTGACCCGACCGACTTTGAGGATCACATTGACCAGACCGACTTTGAGGATTACAGTGACCTCACCGTCGGTGACGATTGCACTGACCAGGCTGGCTGTGACGATTACAGTGACCTCACCGTCGGTGAGGATTACACTGACCAGGCTGGCTTTGAGGATTACAGTGACCTCACCATCGGTGAGGATTACCCTGACCAGGCTGGCTTTGAGGATTACAGTGACCTCACCGTCGGTGAGGATTACCCTGACCAGGCTGGCTTTGAGGATTACAGTGACCTCACCGTTGGTGAGGATTACACTGACTACACCGACTTTGAGGATTACACTGTCAATGATGACTACTGATGAAGAATACTGGAGCTGATCTGTGGTTGAAGAGGTTGAAGCTGCAGTATTTTGAGTTTAAAGAGACTCTGCCTGAAACCAGATAATAAACTCTTGGAGAATTAATGATATTTGAGTCTTATTTGTCGCTAAGTAAAAAGGCCTCTCTTTTCTATAATTATTATTTCTATAATTATTAACTATCATTAATCAGTAATGATCACGTACGCAGGAAGTAAAGATTCATGCAGGCATGGACTGGTAATCGGGCCTACCGGGCATTTGCCTGGTGGGCCGACGTGCTGTTTGGACCGGCAGACCCGACATGTATATTAATAATATGTATTATGATTATTATTATTATTGTTATTATTATTATTATAACGGCCTCGTTATATTTGCATAATGCATGAAGAAAAATAAAATCAGCAGCAAGAGTCTGTTCCGATCATCCGGCCCTTAACTCAGGCTACTACAGCCCATTGGTTATCATCCCTGACAGTCTAAAGGGCTAGGCCAATCAGAAAGTAGAAAAACACCTTCACTCTCCATTGGAACTTTGTGCAGCGAAGTTCACAGTAGGAATGGAGAAGAAATGCAAAGAAACAAGTTCTTCAAAGGGGCACTGCAAATTGTGTCAAACTGACTGACATGTTCCCAACAGCAGGCCCTTTATCTGCTACGGAGTCTGATGTAAAATATGATGGTGGTTGCAGACATCCCAAGTCTCCCAGAAGTTCCGGGAGTCTCCCTGATATTGATAGTTGTTCACTAATGCCCGCGAGTCAGATAAATTATCCTGGATTTTAGACTCTGCAAGGTGGTGTTTTTTTTGTGAGAGCGGGCAGGCAGTACAATAATTCATTCACCATGTGCAGATTAGAACTAATGCGATTGCGCAGACAGCAACAAGAGAGAGCAGGGGGTTGGGATGAGGTTGCTGGTGAAACCTGTGCAGCGTATCTGTTCAAAGAGATGCTCTGTTCAACCAACAATCCAGGCGACTGGTTGATCAGAGAAAATTCATCAGAAAAATAAGCCAATAAGTTTCAGTTTACTCTTTTACAGTCACCTCATTTTGCAGCAGAAAGTGTCTCCATGTCTAGTGAGGGTGAAGAATGATGGAGTGCATGTATGGCGCACGGTGCGGCCAGGGGCGTCAGCTGACCCAGTACTATACAGGGGCACAATAGGGCACCAAATAAAATGCGAGCCCGCAGAGCACGTGAGCAAAAAAAATTTTGGGTAATTATTTATTTTATAAAAACATGGTC